TCAAGGGCGTGGTTGGTGAAGGCGACCAAGAGGATGGGTCGTATTCCATTCTCGAGCAGCAGACGCAGCAGCTGCACGCCCGTGTAGCTCTGCGATGCCGTATTTAGTGCACACCGAGGGCACGAGCTTCAGCACCGCTTGTACATACCTTGCCCGTCCCGGGGGGACTTGTCCCATGGTTGATCAATGAGACATATCTCCAGCTTAAGACGGTTGACTCACCCTTGAATCATCGCAAGCTCGCTCGTCATAGCCACGACCAACGCGTCTGCTTGACTTGGGTCTAGAATGCTTTGTTCCCGCAGCAGCTGACGCGCCACGGCGACTGAAGACGGACAGGTCACGTCAAGAGTAAGGTCTCTCATGTTCGCACCCGGAGGAAACAGGGAGGACAGCTTGAAGGAGAATCCAGGGAGTGTAGCATATCTGGGCGGCGAAATACTGAGCCCGGCAAGAGACCCAGGAGGATGAAGTACGAGATACTTTCTGAAGGGCACAGCCTCTGGCTTGACTCGGAGTGCCTCCAGAAACGGTCGGATAGACTCGTACATGACGGTCGCCTCGACGAGAATCTTGACGCCCCCGTCTCTCTGTCCTGGCCGGCCCAGGTCTTCAAATGCACGGACGTCGAGATCCGAGTCGAAGAATGTGATACGGATGGTCGCGCGATCGGGATTGTCCTTGCTCGAGGCGACGAGGTAGAGCTGAGAATTGTACCAAGATGTATAGAGATGCTACCCCCGGGACGTTGCCAGATCAGGGCGACAAGGCCTTTCTGCATGACTCGTTTACTGGCCATGGCTTTCCAGAAGTCAGCGCGATCATCCCATATAGGGGAGCGAGCCTGTCCTGGTGGGGTATCGAACTCAAGGTCGATGGCAATCCCACCTCGGCGGTCGGGGATCAGGTCCACAAAGACGATATCCGTGTAAACGTTGAAGAGTATGGTATTTTGATTGACGACGTTGCCACGGTACTTGCCGCCACGCTCTCTCATGAGTTCCGCCAGGCGTGTGTCAGGCCTATCAGACTGGAGATCATCGACCACGCATTGAATGGACGTGCGAAGCGGTGCTCTACATAACAACGTTAGAGATACAGCAAGTCGAAAGATCTGAGCACCCACATGAGATCTTCGCGCAGCAAACGGAACTGGATGTCCAACAGCCTCTGCATGCTGTCAGATGGGAAGGGATGGACAGCGTCGTAGACAGTGGCTGGTAAGAAGGGCGGGATCTTGCAGGTCAACTCGTCGTGAGTGGGTGCGATCCGAATGTCAGATATGTCGACGAAGTCGTTGTCGTGCCGCGGGCCCTCTTCGCGGAGCTCGCCAGGTCCTTCCTGTCCTCCTGATGCAGAGGCTTGTGCAATGTACCTGATGCGCCGCTCCGCACGCTCCAACTCGCCGGACTTGCGCTCTGCGATGCGTAAAAGTTGGTCAACTTGTCTGTTCAGATGTCGTATGATAGGTGGTACGGCAAGAGGGTCGTCGATGGTCGGGGATGGGGACGTAGCGGCTGTGATCCATGTGTCGGTCCACAGGCGCAAGGAGAAAACCAGTGAGTCTAGAGATGGATGCGTGGTAAAGATATCCTTGAACCGTAACGCTATTCTGTAGGATGCATGTCAGCGGCACTCAGAAACGACATTATTGGATCACTAACTCGAATAGCACTTTCGCTAACGCAATTATGGCCTGACTTGGAAGAGGCATACTATCGCTCGTGGTAGAGTGAGGGTCTTGGAAGGACCCGCGGTCGATGATTGCTTCCTTCATGCATCTTTGTACGACGTCCACAAAATGGTCGCAGTGCTTCACGATGAGTGCATAGAGTGCGCTAACATGAATGGCTGTCAGTATGCGAATCATCCGCGCTAGTCTCAGACATACTTCACGGTGTGGCTAGCGACGCTCGTGGTTACATACTCGCTTGAGAGGTACTGTATACAGCATGAGTTCCTCGTCAAAGGTCAGGGGAGATGATCGTACTCGTAGAAGCGGAACGTAACTGCGCTGAAAGGATAGTTTCTTCTCGTATATCGAACTTCCCGTGCTAACCGATACCTCCGGCCACGCAAGGATATCGTCGAATCGGCGGCGCCCGTTTTCCTGTGATCAAGGGAAACGTCAGGAATGTCAGGCAAGTAGCAGAGGACTCACTTCGCTCAGTGCATTCAAGAGACGCTATCACCAATGTTCGTTGTCAGCACGGGAACAGGTGGCATAGTCAACTACGTACTTGTCCATCCTCGGGTAACTATGCACCGCGGGAGTCAGCAACATGGTAGGAAGTAAAGCAAGATCACGCACCCAATCTTCGTTATTCTTCGATGCATGGATGATTACTCTCAGAAAGCTATAGACATCCAGAGTGCGATTGAAGCGATAATCGGGATGAAGGTACTTTTTGAGGTAATTGTGAGCTGATGATGGGGATAATTGTGTGGAGAGGTTGACGTCGAAGAATGCATCAGTACCCCGTTCAGTAAGTTCAGTAAGGCCCCCTGCAGAGAGCAGAGGCACCACTGTCTCATTCGTCTCCTCTTGAGGGGCCTTCGGTTGCTGTGACGGTCGTGTGTGTTTGTAGTAACACTTGAATCCGTGTCTGCACTTTCCAGTGTCCCAGAAAGTGCGACAGACACCCAGGGGAGCGGTTGTGCTTCCTGAGTTCTGTGCACCGCCTGGGTATGGGGAATGGCTATGGACTGAATGGGGATGAGTGCTTTCTATCGTATACCATGTTGAATCGATGAAGACGTGCCTTGTGATGAGGCTTGAATGTGAGCAAAGCGACAGTCTGCTCCTCTATCGCAACCTCCAGGACTGTTGGAAAAAACGACAAGGTGCTTGGGTATTTCCGAACATGATGGAGGAGATCGATGAGTTCTAGGAGGTGCCCCAACAGTCCTTGAAGCTTGAAGTCGTGCTGCGGCCTCGCCGGCGCCAGTCGGGCTCCTTCAGAAGCATATACAGCACGGAACATACCTGAAGAAGGAGGATCCGCGAACGGAAGTCCTCGTGTTCGACGAGAATGTGTCCACATACCAGCAAGTTCCGGGACAATGAGACCTCTAGGCTCAATGGCTTCCAGAAGCATACCCATAAATCCCTCTAGAGGGGCAATGCAGTTAGAGGCCTTTATATTTTGTTGAGCGCGCGATCTTCTGACGAGAAGAACGAACAGGGCGACTCCAATCACTCTGCTTACCCCCATGGCTGCGCCCACTTCTCTGTTTGAACGGAGAATTGAGGTCATCGAGCGACTGAGAGCTCCTTCGGGGAACCCATTGGCTATGCTCACTTAGCTACTGGATTGACTGCGCGTACGAAAGTCTATTGGAACCTGTGTCGCGACGTCCGTATGTCGCTGTCTCGAGACGCCTGAAAGATTGAAAGCATATGCATTGAGACGCGAGAAGAGGAGGAGGACTGGACGTCGGAGAACTTGCGGGGCGAGTAAATTACACGTGAGCGTGACCATCCCCTCTCGCGCGTCGGCTTCCCGGTCGCAGTCGTTGTCCCGACTTTCAACTCCTCAAGAGCACCCCGATGCCCATGCTGAGAGCCCGCTTCTTGTCCGCAAAGAGACCGCTATGCAGGCGTTACGCTACTGTCCCTGGGCCCCATACTTTAGTGTTTCTCGAGCACCGTGCAGGTGTCATTGATTCTGGCTCCTTGTCAGCTCTCACAGCAGCGCAGCAACTGGGTGGTCAAGTCACCGGGCTCGTTGTCGGAGGGCCAGATGAGGTCAAGGGCGTGGTAGAGAAGGCAAAGAAGTATGTCACTGGCTCCATTATTATGAAGTCCAGGCTCTAACACCCTACTCGTTCACGTCAGGCTGAAAGGTCTGAACACCCTCCTCCATAGCACATCGCCGCAGTATGCGGCACCCATCCCTGAGGTAGTCTCCCCGCTCCTCGAGAAGCTGCTCTCGTCCGGCTCGCCATTCACACATGTCGTCTCCGCCCACTCATCTTCCGCGAAGTCGCTCCTGCCCCGTGTTGCCGCACGGCTAGACCTCCCTGCCGTCTCGGACATCACCTCCCTCGCCCATGACACCGCAGACAACGCAACGACCTTCACGCGACCGATCTACGCAGGCAACGCGATTGCGACCGTGCGCGCCCCGTCCTCGGTGCCCATCAAGTTCTTCACCGTGCGCTCGACGGCGTTCGCCGCCGCCGCGGAGCAGGACACCCAGGCAGAGGACAAGTCGCTCGACCCGGTCGAGGTGCCGAGCCCGCCGACGCAGCACATCCGGACGGACCTGACCAAGTCGGACCGCCCGGAACTCGGCGTTGCGAGCCGCATCGTCTCGGGTGGTCGCGCGCTGAAGAATGCGGAGACGTTCAACGCCACGCTGGAGCCGCTCGCGGATGCACTCGGCGCGGCGATCGGCGCGTCGCGCGCGGCCGTCGATGCGGGCTACGCGGACAACTCGCTGCAAGTCGGGCAGACGGGCAAGGTCGTTGCGCCGGAGCTGTACGTGGCGGTCGGCATCTCCGGCGCCATCCAGCATCTAGCAGGCATGAAAGACTCCAAGATGATTGTCGCTATCAACAAGGTGAGTGGTTCCGCGCATATCCATTCAGGCCGGGTAGCTAACGACTGGTCTGTAGGACCCCGATGCTCCCATATTCCAGGTCGCCGATGCTGGACTGGTGGCAGATCTATACGAAGCGGTACCTGAGCTAGTGGAGAAGCTCAAATCACAGTGAGATAACACCATCATATATGATGAGAGGGGTGTCGGCCGTATCATAGATTGTGAAACTTAGTGGCCGCTTTTTGGCCGCAACCAGGGTGCAAGTGGGGTAGGCACATTCCAGCATACGTTTGCTCATTGTACAGTTACTGCACACATATTCAATAGGTAACACTGTAGGACCCAGGCCGAGTTCGACCGGCAGTAGACCTTGTATGAACGTGACGTCGTGGTCACTGGAAAATGAGTAGAATTGATGAGCAGGGATAGTGCAGTAAGGGCAAAAACTAAAGCCTCCCTGGCGGGGAGTCGAACCCCGCTTTCGCGCGCGAAAGACAGTTTACGGCGATGACAGGCGCGTGTACTAACCGATATACTACCAGGGACACAGCGTTCATATGTCGCTCATAACTATATGATCATGCCGAGTATCTTCAGCAAGATCCTGCACATATTCAGCCTAACCAAGCATAACCAGTAGAATCCATTGGTGGACATGCAAAAGCTGACAGTAAACTCGCCGTCGATCGCAGGGCCCAACTCTATTTTAGCCCCCTTCAACCGATATGCATATCAGCTTGAATCGCTCCTCGTGCGGCCTCTGCCTCTCCAATGACGGTAGTTTGGGTAAGCCAGCTCCATTGACGCTCTATAGCAGGTCCCAGGGCATGCAAGTCATCGCCATGAACACCGTTGAACTCGTACATAACGCCGGAGTCATAGGAGCCCCGAAGGACATGGTTTGCGAGGGGCAGTCGGACATGTTCGTATGCAAGGAGAGCCTGCGGGAGCGTCGTCACGGTGGTAGAGGGGCGGCCCAGTACGCGTGCGAGAACGAACGCGTCCTATTGTCATAATCAGTTGACATGATCATCGCCCCGGTACCCAGAGGCCGACGCACCTCTATCGCTTGGCCGGCGCCCGCTCCTTGGTGTGGACTCATGGCGTGCGCCTTGGGCACGCGGCGGTCAGCGACACATATCACAATTGTAGCGGTTGACTTACTGCATCCCCCAGCAGCGCGATGCGGCCTGACACATACGTCGGGAGAGGCTTGAGGTGATGAATGGCCCAGCGTGTAGGTTGCTCGATGCACTGCTCGTGTGTGAGGGCATGAATATCAGCGGCGGAAAGTTTCGCACGGACTTTGATTATGTCCATCACTTCAGGCTCCCAGCCGTCGTAGCATTCAAGGAGCTCCTCCTTCGTGCAGTTCACCACCCATTCCTGGTCATAGCTCGTGCTATCCAGCTCAGGGCGTGATGCAAAGGCAACCACATTCACGACACTGCCCCTGGAAATAGAGTAGCTGACGACGTGCTGTGAACGAGATGACTTCCGTGGCGTTGTCATGCTGTAGCAACGAGATACGTACCTTGCCCTTGCCGCAGTACTGTATCGTGAGCGGCTTAGCTCATGACCAACGAACGGACGATGATTGAGATGTACCATCATAGGTGTCTCGACCGTCCTATGCTCTCCACCATGTCTGGCCCTCAGATGGTCGACAGGGATAAGTCCACGGTAGGCCATAGTACCGGTCCAAACGGGATCGATGTATCGCAGCAGTGCTTTCTGGCCTGTAGCAGCCACTTTCTCTTCGAACATCTGCTTGCGGACAGTAGACTTGATACCATCGCATCCTACCAGAATGTCACAGCTCGCCGTTGTATCATCGCTGAAGCACAGCTGCAATGGACCGTCGGGTTCAACTTGGGAATACGACACCAAACGCTTGCCGAAGTGCGCAACGTCCTCCGGTAGTGCATCTACGAACACGTCGAGGAAATGTGCTCTGTGAAAGCGAATGCAACCATCTGACGCGGTGCCATTTCAATCAAAGGTATACAGCCAGAGCAAGTATTGCTCACATGGTAGCTCGAACAAATGGAAGCGATTGCCTTCCATGGGCTGGTCGGATTTGCGGAAATCGAAGCCCACGCCTGCGGGGTATCAGGCTCATTCAGGTGTCAATCTTTCGAAAACCTGGCTTGTTTCGCACCGATCGACCCATCCGGAGGGGCATGTGCTGTCTCTGTAAGCTTCGACCCCAGTCCGAGCAGGGTCAATATCTCCCAGGTCCTCGACCAAATCATAACTCCGGCCCCGATCTCCTTGAACTGCGCGGCAGCTTCATACAGGTCGACTTGAATGTCCGGGCACCTGGAGAGTGCCACGGCGAGGCACAACCCTCCAATACCTCCACCACTATAATGAGGATTTCCGTGGTAAGTATATGTAGTTGAATCGGCTCACAACGGCGTACCAAATGGCAACATGAAACTTTGGTTCGGGCATGTTCTACGTTCTGCGTCACGGCTGCAAATTGTCCAGCCTGTTGTTTGTAGGGTTTCTCGGGCCATCCCGACTCTTCTGCGACTGCTTCTAAAAGTATGACAGGGAATCGCGATATCTCGGACTGGCCGCCGGCGCAAGATAGAACATAATTGAGTTGCAGTTGAGCATCACCAAGATCAGATATTTGGCGCCCATGGGATAGCGAGCCCGATCTCGATCTGGGTGTGATCACTGCTAGATTCGATCAAGATCTCACTTCAAGATTTTCTTGAGCTCGACCTGCAGGCATCCGTGCGGGCAAGGCGCAGGCTCTCCTCGCCGTCAATATCCTCCTCCGCGTATCACTTGTACTTTGCCGTCATGGTTGATAATCTCGAAACCTCGCTGACAAAGATTCGCCCTCACACTTCGTCGTCTCTTCCTCATCAGAAAACACCTGCGACCCTTCTTCACGCTCTCGAAGCGACCTTCCGCGAACAGAATGCGCAGCCCTCACCAACCGCTTATTTCGCTGCCTTGTTGACTACTCTAGAGGGTGCATTACAAGCCGCACCTACATCGGGACCACCACTGGGCGACGGAGATGTTCTTCCTGCGGTCCTCTATTTACTCGCGCTTGTCACTCCGCATGTACCCCACCCCGTCATACGAACCCATCTAGACACGACCATATCTCTGACATCGCCTCTCTTCCCTGCACTTGTTTCTCATGCACCGCCGCTGCGATCCCAGCTGGGTCTGTATAGTGCGATCTTCCAGTCCCTCGAGCGTCCGCAGCTAGACACCCAAGGCCTTCGCCAGTCGTTCAGCTTCATTCTGCAGCTCGCCCTGGACCCGCGTCCGAAAGTACGAAAGAGGGCCGCTGAGATCGTAAAGGATGTCCTCGCCAATCCACCGGCACCGCTGCTCCAGCACCCGTACGCTCAGCGAGTCGCCGACTGGACCATCTCCGCACTGGGCGAAGTCAACTCAGGTGCGCCTGTCAAGTTCAAGGGAAAGAAGGCAGAGGCGGAGAATCCGGACACCGCCATTCATCTACTCGCGTTCTTGCGCCCAGTTCTGCCGACGCTCCCTGCTGCCGTGAGTGTGATTCATCGCTCGCAACATGTCCTGACTCTAACCAGGCGTCGGTAGTCACTACCCTCGATCACCTCATCGCTCCTACTACTCCCTCGTCTCGGAAACCCTTACCTTGCCCAATCTGCGTACTCTATCCTCTCCGATCTGCTCAGTTCCGTCGTGCAAGACCCGTCCAGTGGTATCCGAGACCAACTCTCGGACATCCTTGATGCTGTCTTGTCATCTTCAGTAACGAAGACGGACACCACACTTGCACCCGTATGGGCAGCCGTCCTGGGCAACTGTTTGCTGGCGCTCCATGCGACTGACCCGGAGAAGAGTGCGGGGAACGTGAGTAAGGCATGGAAGGCAGCCTGGCCGTTGCTAGAATCGCAAGACTCGGAGACTCGCAAGGCGGGCGCACAGGCACTCAAACAGGTGGGGAAGTGCTTCACACCCTCTCTCATCAAGGCTGCACTCTCGGAGAACGCCAGTCAGGAGAAGAAGTCCGACATCGGGAAGATCATCTCGCAGACGACGAAAGCATTTGATGCCCTCAGTTTCGCTCGTTCGATACCCGAGCTTCTCTCAGTCGTGTCGTCGCTCAGTGAGAACCTGAGGTACCGTGGTGGGTCAAGGACGGCCCCGACCGCAGCGGAGCAGCTTCTCCTGTCGCTCATTACGAGGGTCGGTGACCTGCGAGTACAGAAGACCTTCGAGTACAAAGAGGCTGCCGACGCTACGCTGAGCACCGCTATGCAAGTCTTGGGCCCGGAAGTCCTCCTGAAGGCACTTCCGCTGAACCTTGAGCCCGCCGATCGGTGCGTACATCTGTACTCAGCACGCTGGCATTTGATTGACTGGCATACAGACAAGCCGGTCTTGAACCGCGTGCTTTCCTGCTTCCGCTCCTCTCGCAGCCACACCCCTCGCCACTGGGTCACTTCCTGAGCTACTTCGTCCCTCTCACAGAACGCATGTTTGACTTGCAGCAAACTGCTGATGGGGCGAACCGCCAATCAGAGGCGAAGGTGTGGAGCGTGCTTGTTGAGCAGATCTGGCAGGGCTTCCCCGGATACTGCTGGGGCCCTCCGGACCTACAGAAGGTAACGCCCCATGCAGCCGGTTGCGATCGGTTGACTTACACAGAATATTGTCTTCATCAGGCCTTGTCCCCGGAGTTCGCCCAGCTGCTATCGCAGCTCCTCTACAACCAAACAGAGCTTCGACCCGCTGTCCTCCGCGCATTGAGGACGCTAGTGGAGTCCAACCTCGCGATCGCTGCAGGCGAGTTCGATAGACTTCCCGAGTCCGTGCGGGCCGACGTGATATCGACTGAGGACGCCGCAAACAACGTCGAATTCCTGCGTGGGCAAGCAGAGAGCTGGCTTGCCGTGCTGTTCAACGTCTTCAGCAGCGTCGGGCGGGATTCGCAGGGTATGGTCGGGGACGTCATCAGCGTGTGGGCGGGCATCGCCAGCGAGCAGGTAAGTCGTGCGGAAAGGCGTTGAGTTTGCGGCTGATCCGTGCTGTGTAGGATATCGCGAAAGCGTACGCCAAACTTGTGGGCCTGTTCAAGCAGAATCTCACAAAGTTCGTCAAAGTTTCGGGCGCGAAAGACGTAGAGAACATTACCGCTGTGACCCAGGACCTCCTCGTGCTCGTGCTACCATACCTATCCTCTGTGGACGCGACGGCGCTCTTCGAGCTCTCCCTTCAGAGTGAGGTGCTTGAGAGCAAGGACAACGGCGTTCAGAAGCGCGGGTACAAGATCCTTGCGAAGCTCGTAGAGGGGCAAAAGGCGACAGTGGATGCTGAATCTGTGATACAGCGACTGGACAGCGTTGTCGATGGTCTAGCCGCAGCTGCTAAGAAGGTCTGTTGTTCCACTTGTTGACTCTAGCGCATGGTCGATGCTGACTGGACGTACGTAGGATCGATTCCACCTGCTCACCCGACTCGCCGTGCTTATCCCGCCTGCACACCTACACCTTCTTCTGTCAATCATCCCGGAAGCTGTGCTTGGAACCAAGGAGCCGTCGGAGAAGGCTCGCAATACTGCATTCGACTTGATTGTCGTCATGGGTAAGAAGATGAGCGAGGGCGGTGTGGTTAAGCGTAGTGCCGTCGATGGAATGGAGCAGGACGGTGTTCCCGAAGGTACTGCGCGGATTTACCTTTCGCATGGAGATCGTCTGACAAGTCTCTTAGCTACCGCCAGCCTGGAAGAGTACATGACCATGATAGCAGGTGGTCTGGCGGGAGCAACGCCCCATATGATCAGCGCGACTGTCACGGCCATCTCCCGCCTTGTCTTCGAGTTCCAGGGTAAGCCAGACATACTACGCTGTATCCGTCGACGCATCTGACGCCCACCCAGATACGCTCTCCGCACAGATGCAGAGCGAGATCTTCACCACACTCTTAGTCTTCGTCACATCCGCCAACCGCGAGATCGTCAAGTCCGTGCTCGGTTTCATCAAGCTCGCGATCCACACCATGTCTACCGATCTCATGCGCCCGCATCTCAAGGACCTCGTCCCCGCCCTCCTCCGCTGGTCGCACGACCACAAGAACCACTTCAAGGCGAAGGTGCGCCACATCTTCGAGCGCATGATCCGCCGGTTCGGGTGGGAGGACGTGTACGCGTGTGCGGGCGAGGAGGAGGCGCGCAAGGTGCTCGTGAACATTAAGAAGAGGAAGGACAGGGCGAAGAGGAAGAAGGCGATGAATGCGGAGAACGACGACGATGAGGTGCGGTCGCTTCAACTCGTCCTGTTCAGCACACTGACATATTGTCGTCCAGGAACCTGCTGCCAAGCCCTCGGGAGGTGATGCGTTCGAGGACGTGCTGTACGGGAGCGAGAGCGAGCTTGATGACAGTGATGACGAGGTCCCTACCGATCGCAACGCTCGGCCAAGTAAAGCGAAGAACAACGGCGGAGGTGCACGAATCCGGATGGACGACGATGAGCCAATGGATCTGTTGCACGGTGCTGCAGCGCGCCTCACGAGTACGTCCTTGTACTTTGTATCAGCATCCCACGACAGTGCTGACATGAAGCGCAGACGCCAAAGGCGGCAAGCGACGCAAGCCTGGCCAAGATGCAACCCATTTCAAGACCGATGACGACACGGGCAAGATGGTCATCGATGAAGATGAGGGCGAGGAAGACGGTGAAGCAGCGGACGACGTATATAAGGAGAGCCTCACATCAACGGACGGCTTCACTCGAGGTCCGAACGGGCGCGTTAAGTTCAACAAAGATACGAAGAAGCGGCGTCGGGAGAATGCAGATAACGACGAAGATGTCGAGATGGGTGAGGCAGATGCGCGCGGCGGAAAGAAGAGCAAGCGGAGAACGGACGTCAAGCTGGGACATGAGTTCAAAGCGAAGGTGCGACCGTGCAACACTTGTTTGATATCGAATTTACCAATGTCCCGTACAGAAAGCTGGGGGCGACGTCAAGAAGGGTGGTGTGGAACCATATGCCTACATGCCGTTGTCGCAGGCAGCCAAAAAGCAGGGACGCAAAGGCGTCGCAGGGAAGCGATGAGCAACGTGCTTGTATCCATACGCGTATTTCACGCATTTCGTCTCAATGTAGCCACTCCGGATCTCATCGCTACGAGGTGGGTAGAGTTCCGCTGCGCAGATGCGCGCGGGCACCGTCTGTCCGCAGACATGCTGAGTAAGTTATGATGTACGGCTTCGATTCATCCCATGTCTCCACTGAAGGTGTGCAATGGTGGGGCGCTATTTTGAGACACTACTTATCGAGAGAAGCAGAAGTCGGGGTGGTATGAGGGGAAGAACAAAACAAAAATAATTGTTCCCAGGGGGAGTCGAGCCCCCGTCTCCACGGTTTTGCGCAACGTAGGGCTGCAGCCACAACGTGATGATCTGACCACTAATCGATGGGAACCATGGTGGGGCAAGGTGGAATGCGTACATAGCTCAGGTATGCCGATTGGTCGGTGGTATGGCAGCGGGCGGGACTGACACCATGACGTTGGCGGCGGATGATCTGGGCTTGCGGCAAGTCCTCCAGGCGAGGCGGTCTGTCGGCTGCTATCCCGCTTCTTCCTGAACCCTCACAATGCGGAAGACATCCTACGTTGTCGCATTCTTCGCCGTCCTTGCCACAGTCATTCTGGTGAGCTACCCGCGCCAACCCGTCGCTCACATCGCTGATCACCCCCAGAATGGTTTCTCCATCACACGGCCAGACTGGTTCGCCTGTTGTCCCCCAATCGACCTGCGCGTTCGCTGATGTGTTGAATGGTCAAGGCTAATCGTGAACAACCCTGAAGTCCTCCACTCCAAGATCACCGTGCAGTATGGCCTCGACAAGCGATGCGACAGGCAAGTGATCGTCATCCCCGGCCTCCCTGAGGGCAGTCGGCTCGCCTACACCGACTACAAATGCCGGCCCTTCCCTAACCGGGTCGTTGACAACTGCGAGAAGGAGAACAAGACGTTCTGCATGGTATGGACAACTGCGCACTACTTCGCCGAGCTGGGCATTGGGTTCGGCGTCGTTGCTTGCCTCGCCGTCCTGTTTGGCGTCAGTACTCACTCGCGGCGGCGGAGGATCTGGAAGATGGTGGCATGGCTTGCAGCTTTCCAAGGTGCGTTCATGCACCACGAGTAATAGACAAATTCTGATGCGCGGAAACAGTGGTCTTCACCGTTCTAGCTTTCTCAGTCGTGACCCACCTCTATCGCCTTTCCATGTACCCCTCATTCGAGCGGGCTCGCCCTGGTAGGTGTCTATCAACAGGTACTCTGGTAGCGCATCCATGTGCTTGCTGGCACGCTGCGAAGGGTGTACCTGAAAGAACTCACTGCGACGCCGAGGTGGCTGAATGCATCTTCGGGAGCTCTCAACCCATCGTCCTTCGCAGCCGCTTCATGCAGCGCCTACAATCCATATGCACATGATGATGCGGGTCTGCATACACCTCACTGACAAACCTCGCAGGAACCGCGTATGTCCTGAACACCCTCTCTTGGGTGTTCGGCGTCCTCGCAACGGCAGGTATCATCACCACTGGTATCTCCGCCAACAAAGGTCACCGCTGGGCAGCAGGCAAGCGGGCCTACCGCCCCATCGAAGGTTGATCGGGTCATGACCATGCAGCCATCGTTCGTCCTTTTCATCACGTCTCCTACACTTGTGTTTTTGTACACGCCCCCACTTGGCATACCAGTCTCCCCCGCTTGCCCTGACCGTGATACTGGACGGTCTGCTGTGTCCTATGCTTCCCTCTCGTCCTCCTTATTCAAGTTAGCAATGCACATTAGCAAAAAATATTTTATGGATGGATAGATGGTCCATGCGTAAGTGGCGTCAGTATTCGTCCTCAGGGTAGTCCACCTGGTCGTAAAGCCGCAATGTCTCATTCCAATCGCGCTTCCTCCTCCTCCGCACCGAGAAGTACTTCGCCTTGCTCGCCCACCGCCCGCGCACCCTGCCCTTCTCCTTCCCGCCCGTTCGCTCAAAGTACGTCTCCGGGTCGGGTGGGAGGCCGAGCGTATGCACTGCGAGGTCCATGACGCGCGCGTGCAGGCGCTCGCGCGTCGCGTGCAGCGCCGCGATGCGCCGCGGGCCCATGCGGAGGAGCGTCGTGAGCACCGCGAACGCGCGGAACGCAGCGACGGCGTCCTCGAGCCAGCGCAGCGCCATCCACATCGCAACGGGCACGAGCGGTGCGGTGAGCGGTGCGACGGGGAGCGTGAGCAGCGTCGCGCCGCCCCAAACGCAGAGCCCGGAGACGAGCCCGTAGATGAGCTTGTACTGCGCGATCTCGTCCCAGGTGTCCCAGATCGGGCCGGTGCGCTTGAAGCGCGAGACGGCGACGAAAGTCGTGAGGAAGACGGGGAGCCAGAGGAGTAGGCCCGGGAGGGAGATCGTAAAGAGGAAGGCGGCCCAGCCGAGGCGCACGCCGATGCGGTAGAGGATGATGTGGGTGGGTAGCGGCCGCCGGATGCGATCGTCCTTGATGCCGTGAAGCACCAGCTGGTCTTGGTACGCCTGTGAACATCAATGATGTCAGTGGATGGTAAATAACAGGAATAAGCAATACCTTCAAGTCGTCTCCCAACTGTCGGATCTTCTCGTCCTCCCCTTGGGCGCCCTCCCCGTGCCCGTTCTCCTTGTTTGCGGCCTCGCCGTCGCTTCCGCTCTGGTTCTCGGATACAGGCTGCTCCGCGAGTTTGAACGCCTCGAGGAACGTCCGTACGACGCGCACGTAGTCTCCCAAGCTCATCGTTGTCCCCAAGGGCGCATACATGCAAGCCGCGAGCTTCGCGTTCCGGATCATGCGCCACGAGGGGGCGTCCAGGGTGCCGAGGCTGATCTGCTGGTGCATCCTCGCTGTGAGTGCGCGGACTTCCTCGTAGTTCACTGGAGCGAGCAGCTCCGGGTTGTCCTGCGGCACTCGGTCAATGCGCGAAGCTTGGTACACACTCTGGGCACTTACCTTCGGGGTGAATCGTAACGGTTCGTGGAACGTCACCAGAACATCGGAACGGAAGTGCTGCCGATGCCTGTAGATGCATGACGAAACCTTTGGAAAGGTAAGGCTGAGTGTAACTCACATATAAGTAACTGAACATGTTTGAACGAGGACCTCGAAGTCGGGCTTGTCTCGATTGCGCGAGAGGACATCAGAGACAAGTCGAGCGACTAGGAATAGATGTCACGCATTCGAATTGCGTTCGTGACTTCAAAACAGTTTACACATACCTCCAGTCTTGAGCGGAGCGATAGTCGGGTGGTACCTACTCATCCCCTCTGGAAACAGGCACACCGCATCACCGTACTCCAAGGCCTACAAAGTGCGTGACGGCACAAATGAGACCCTGTCATGCCGATGCGAGGGACAATGTCCCGTCGTACTCACTTCGATGAGGTGCTGCATGACCCCAGAATTGTCAGCGTCGCCATTTGGAAAGTCCTGCCGCCGCTTGATGGGCACGGTGCCCGCAGACTCGATCAGCCAGCTGGTGAATGTCTTCCTGCCAAACTGTGTCGACTTGGCTGTAAGGCGCAGGAGGTTTCGTCTCTGACATTGATCAGATGGCTGTCCTAAGCTTCGCGCGAAGTACACACCTTGGACGGGATCGCCGTGACGAGGAGGCTGGCTCGGGGACTGGGGTAAGTCATAGTAAGAAGTGCCCTGACCGGGCTACTCACAGCGCGTCCGTTAGCGAGTTACTGTGGTTCGCACATACGATACTACGTGGCATTCAGTTTCCTGCGTCCTTTGGAGTGTACCCAACCACGTACCAAGGCTTGCCTCTGGGCGGTATGACATGTGCATTTTCGACGACTATGGTACCGTAGAATATCTTCAGCACGAACTTGAACAATAGTCTGCAGTCCAGCATCACGTCTCAAGTCAGGCTGAGTTGCCCTGGCTGGAACACGAACATGAACACGGACCTGATGAAGAAGTACGACCAAGGCGTAGGCGTTCCGTTGGGCATGCCAGTCAAAATAGGATGTGCTGGTCCGATCAGACGTTATGCAGGGCTGGGTGAAATGGTTGTGTAAAATAGATTCAGCATACGAAGAGCAGGCGAGCGTGTCGGGGGTTCGGAAGAAAGGCGCGTTTACTGCGGATGGGCGACCGAAAGCGTGGTCGTCGTGTGGTGCGCTCAATGGAGCACACAGTCATGACCAACGTTCGCGGCCGCTGAGTTTGAGCGCCCAAACGCGCCGCGGCCGCCAAGCCGCCAATCTCCATGTCGCAGTCGCGCACGTGTTTAATACCCCACACCCGAGGCGACAAGCGCCTGCAGGGAAACGATACTACATTATCATATTAGTATCCAAATTGACTTGAACACGCAAGTGCATGGTCCAGCAACAACCCTGACCGGAGGAGACGAGACAGCCCTCGTGGCTCCTTGACGCCATTGCCGCGCTGAAACTCAAGTTACGACAACTGGGATGAATGTCTCGCTGTGCGCCGGTTCAGGCTGGCAGCATACCGTCGGCCAGACAGGCAGCCCCCTAGGGAATGCGACTGAGAGACGGGCACCGTTCTCGCTCCGCATAGCCCATCCCGCGAGGGCGCGGGACTTCCGACGCTTGGTACTGAGATCCCCACGACGGGGACTAGACGAACGCGGCAGGCAGAGTGCTGCATGTGCTGTGGCTTGAAGTAGGCGTAATAGCGGCGCACAAGCTCGAGATCCTTATGGAGTAGGGCGAACTCTCACATTTTTGTAGCTGTTATGGATGTACCGAGTTGGCCAACCCATCTCGGTTCAAACTGCATGGTGGCAGCGACGCGCGGCCATAATACATATGTATCACGGTGTTTGTCTGTCAGAGAAGCACGTTGCGGCGACGTGACCTTCCGAGCTATATTGGCCTATGCCGTGAAATGACTTCGATTTCATAGCGAACTACGATAGGTTGTCGTTGCAACGCGTGACGTTTGTTGGGCATCGCGCCAGTGAGCTCTCAATGGTGGATTTGCCACGCAGGCTCGTGGCCATAGTGGATGGTCGGGATACCTGCAGGTGGGTTAGGGCCCACGTCCACGCAATGAGCCTCAAAGTGATCCGCCAGGTGGTCGGGGATGACGAGTTGGTTCGGGCCAGGCTCTGCAAGCAGCACATGAATACAGAGGCCACGTAAGACAGAAATGAAGACAAACGCACTCTCCGGGTCAAGCGGTCCAAATTTGATGGCGTTGGAGTCTTTCTTTCCAGTCTTGCTTTCGATGTACTTCTGTCTCTCCTCTTCCGACACATGGTCACCGATGAGGTGGTCTGGCATCCAAACCTAGCATGGGTTCCGGCGAGTGTAAACAGATCTGCCACTCTGAGGACCCTGGCGCTCAACAGACTCACCTTCGTTATCACGAGTCGCCAGTTGGCAGAGTCCTTCGCGTAGATCGCGCACAC